AACCTATAATGAATGACGTCAGTCCATTGTAATGTGCTTTTATATATTACAACTAATAAGTTATGTCTTCATTCTAACAGAATAAAAGAACGTTCCTATAAAAGCCAGATAATAATTACAAAGACAAAATGGAATACAAAACACATATTTCACGATTTAGAACTTATATAACTTGTCGAATCCACATTAACTTAGAATATATTTACTAAAGGACTATTTACACAATAAAAACTAAAAAATAGAACTCACTTCAAACTTTAAAAATATGATAAATAATATTCATCTCAAAAGCTATTTATTCAAGAAAATGCTATTGAAGTCGGGTGGAGGTAAGTATTATATCGAAATTGATAATTTCATTATTATTTTGATATTTATATTTTCATGTTTATTTAAGAATATTGAATAAACTTTAGGTACATTTTCAATGAAAAATGCTACATCATCATATATCCCGAGATGGGACTTATACCCGGGCGACTGCTCTAACCATTGAGCTAGCCGACACCCGACAATACTGGCGAATTTTTCAAGCATTTGTTACTTTTGTCTGCAAGTGAACATATTTTAATCGAAGTTCAGGCAATCCACCCAAACAATTGAAATAAATATTATTACAAATAAATTTGTTCTTATTAAATTATATTTCATCGATTTTGTGTTCATAATTATATGCTAATAAATATCTTTAATAAGTAATGCTTAAAAATTCCACCGACCCCAGGTCACCCTGGTTTAAGACTTAAAATGCATTTCCAGTAACAGATTAAAGATACCTATTATTATTTAAACTAATGGTTTATTATATTGAACTAGAATTAAGTTTAAAAAGTATTAAGGTTTATTATCAAATTCTACTAAAGGTTTTATTCTTTATGATTGTTTTACATTCAGTAAACAAATTGATTGTCAGATAGCGTTAAGCTAGATAACTTCTGGAAGTTTATCAGCAAGTGGTGAAAGCGGCCGGTAATAGGTATGTTTTTTTTATGGTAGAGTAACACTCAGTTGTACTAACGTGCATTAAAATTATCATTAATTTAATAAATCATTCATACATTAGGTAGTCGGTATTAAATCTTAATGACCGTTTACACAACCCAATTGCAGCTAATATATAGTTGATACAGAAAAAACTTAAAAATTCTGCACTTCTTATTTATATTAAATTTAACTGTACAAAATTTCATACTCCACCGACCACGTAATTTTCAACTCTTGCAAAATTTACCCATTTTGCGATAGTTTTCGCAAAAGTCCTAAGTGTTTGCTTTCCGTATCAATATAATGATATATTTGAAACCCAATTGTCTAGCGTGTGACAGGCAAGGCTGTACGTTTCTCGCAGTATCAGCTACACAGTTGTATGTATATGGAGTACCAAACAAAACACAATGAAGCACGTCAAAACATCAGAATCATTTTTCACGAAGTTCGTTTCATTCGCAAACAATACCACGAGGTTATCACACGTAGATCAGTATGCAACTCCTATTGTTGCACTAATACACACACACCCCTATATGGTCATGCTCATGTGACTACTATTGTCAATTAACATCTTTATCGATAGAATAATGACACAATTAATTTAAAAAAATAACCATCCACATGCGAATCGGACTTACGCACATATAAATGTTTAGGGCTGCCGACCGTACTATAATTACAACGTGTAACAGAAATAACGCATGTCTTTATACACCCTAATAAGAAAATGCGTTTATAATCATAAAACGAAAATTTGAATTTTACTTTTATATACTAAACATTGTTTATGGATGGACATATTTATACTAATTGCTGGGTAACAGTGTGAACATCTTACAAATCTACACAATGACGTCAAAATTATTGCTTAGCCTACAACTACAAATATTACCTAATCTAACCTACAATAACACAATTAACCTACCTGCCGATAAAAATTCTCGACATAAAATATTAATCTGTTTCGAGATTCAAAGTGTTTTTTTTTTAAGTTTAGACAATAATAAAGATTCTTACTCGGTATTAGTATCGGCTATATTATGCTATATTATGGTTATATTATGGTATATTATGGTATTAGTATGTACATAGTCTTGCGATCACATTATCACCACATTGTGCTTAACCCTTAAGCATTTCGCTATATTTACTGTAAGTTAGTCTAACGAAGAATCATCGTATGTGAAATTAAAAATTCGATAAACTTAAATTGCGATAAAAAAATCTTCTTCTTCTTAACTTTAATGGCACTTTGCGTCACCACATTACTGCCAACTTCATACACTACCACTGTGACATATGTCATGGTTATTTGTGGTATATTATTTTTCTCTTTGTTTTGAATTATTTTACTCTTTAGCTTATGAACTTATGCATCATAGCGCTTACGAGCATTTTAGACTCAAGGCACATTAAAAGACAGTCCATTTTTTGTTTTATTTTCCTATATTGTATTTTATTACAAGCTTTGAATATAGTACATTTTAAAAAGCCTTATTACATTCACTTAAGTTTATTTATTGTTAGTGACGGATATAATGGTTACAGGTGACCACAATTTACTTGATTTTATATATTGAAAATCATCAAAAAATATTACCTATATTATAAATTGTTCAAACCAAATCAGTATCTGATTCTAAACAAACTACGTTAAGGATGTGCGCTAATTATGTTACACGTTGTATATTATTGTCCTATATTCTGGGCCTGCCTTTCGAAAAATATATAATACGCAATGATCCAATTTTTTACAAATTAATTTTTTGTTTATGAAAGCATCTAATACAGTAACTTTTGATTAAAGCGACTGCTTAGACAGGTAGCTTATTTTAAGAGTTAGTATTTTTCTTTCGCTCGTAAAAAAACACATTTATTACAATATGCTTAATTGATTAAAATATAATTTCACATCATTGCATAGTTAGACAGACAGACTTATGAATTTAACAGTATTTTTTGCGGCGTCCTATATTTTAATAGATGATTTTTTAGTTATACTATATTTCTATGAAGAAATATTGGTAACCCTAATTTATGGCAAAATCAAAGTACTATTGTAGTTGTTTATCAAAACTTTGATCCTCGTAGCTTCAGAGATAAAGGGGCTGATTACAAAATATACTAATGTTTAAAAAAAAATCTCAAGAAGAAAGCAATAGCTAAAAATATATCTTAAAATGCTACGAGTATATTATATAAGTTAAAAGAAAAACATAGGTTTTTTTTATTCTTCCTCTAATCACGCTCTTAATATTATGCATTTATTATCCGAGACAAGTCCTGCCAGTGTTCAATAGAAAACATTTATATCTACCCTTGAAACAGTTGCGGCGTAGCTGCTGTGTTTATACGGCTACAATGAAAAACAAAAGGTCACGGCATCAAAGCCGATGTAACCCACTTTTATTGACATGGCTTATTAATATAATAATCAAACTGTAACTTAGAATGAAGTATAATACGATTGATAAAATGTTTGTTTATCAATTTTTGAATGCCACATTATCTCTTGCGAACTTCGGAGACCTTAAAAGCCTTTGAGTGGTAGAAATTATTAAAAGAGAAATAGTGTAATCGCATCGTCTTGAGATAAATTAATTTCTTTGATGTCTCGAAAGCACGTTCGTTTATATCTTGATACAATAAGATTATAGTGTGTCAGTACAATAACATTTTTATTGAAAAATGAAAATGAAAATCTTTATTGATATTATTAAGCTTATGACGTTTATCAGTAATCATCATCATCAGCCCTTTACGTCCCCACTGTAGGGACTCAGGCCTTCCTTGTCGATGTTTAAGGAGCATGGAAGATGACCATCCACGCTGTACCAATGCGGATTGGATGGTATTAACGACTGCAAATACAGCCGGAACCAACGGCTTAATTACTCTCCGAAGCCCAGAGTAGCGCGAGATAATAATATTTTGGTTTCCCATCCCGTAACCGACCCTTACGAAAATTGCTTAATCTTATGATATATTTCATTTACAAATGAAATTAACGTCTCGCAATTGTGTGTGTTTATATAAAGTTGAGACAACTAACTATAAAACGTTAGGAATTTTCCAGTATTTCATCTGTGGTGGTGAGAATCTGTGGATCTTTTTTTATATATAACTTATGTCAAAATCCATTGTTGCATACAGACCTCAGCTGCTTTGGCTACAAAGGTACCTACACATATTTATCAATTTTCGCTATGAAAAAAGTTTAATTACGAGAATTCTATTAGTCCGTCAGTCAGATAATAGAAAAATTATATAAGAATAATAGAAGAAAACGTATTTTTTTGCTTCTTTTTTGAAATGGCTTAGATAATAGGCATTACAATTGAGAAATAGCGACTAACTACGTCACAATTTCGTAGAAAATGTACAAAATCGTGACGTCATGCGACATTTCAACTCAATGTATCGCTGTAATTTTTTGTTTACGCAAAAAATACGTACTTAATATTCTTTAATAATTTACCTGATGGACAAACAAACAAAAATTAGCCATCAACCCTATTTTGATATATATATTTTTATCGAGACTTTAATTATAAAATTTATTGATACAAAACGAAATGAAATTAGTCAGTTTTGGTTTTTGACATTAATAAATTTGGTGATTTCCGTGTGTAAAAACTGTGAAAATATTTTTGTCTTAAAAATATAAGCTAAAATGTTCCAAATAACAGTAATGACTAGGTAGTCGCTAATATTATAATATCATGTGGATCGCATTGATTAGCGCGTTCAGTTTGTAATGCGGAATTTAAGCAACTTTCGCAAGGGCCAATCATACATGCATGGGTGACCGAAAATTTGCTATCTTGAGCTACTCCGTGCTTCGGAAGGAACGATAAGAAGGCACGCTACAGTAGTTAATACCCACCAAACGACACCAGGCCCGCGTAGGTCTTAGCCCATTTTCCCTATTCATTCTGTTCTTGCGTTGGACCTGTATCTGTGATAATGCATATTATTATATTATTTAATAGTTTAGTTTTCTTTTACAGCAGGAATGGCCGTATTTCACAGCAAGCGGAAGGTCCATCGCGACGCAAGAGCAACCTACACAATGCCATGGCAGCGGAAATGGATAATTCATGGGGTACTTATCAATGTATTCAATATAATATTTTATATTTTAGCTTCTTAATCTTCATACAATATGGTCTAGGGGGAAAAAATATTTATTTCGTCATCTACATAATGAAATTTCTATATAAATTCTGTTTTGGAGACTCCTTTTATGCACTTTTTTCTTGTATTTGAATATCCCGCTTTTCCATTAATTGATAATTTTAATGAAAAGAAAATAAAATTAAAAAGTTATAAAAGGAAGATATCATCTTTTTTGTTTTAGCACATAGTAGTAGTATAATAATATACGTCTAAATTACGCTATTAGGATATCCGATAATTATTTATTAAAAGTGGATATTTATTTATAACCATCGTCTTCATTGTTGTAAAATATTTACTCAAGGATGCCAGTAGAAATAATCAGCCTGAATAACGTATAAGGAAACAATTAAACTAATACTATGTAAAGAACGCTTTCTTTCAAAAGCCAGCTGCTAATTCACAAGGATAGTTTCATCGATCAACCACATTTGTGTCATATTTGACCGACATAGAGCACGTCTGCTTGTTCCCAGACCGACCAACGCACATCGAAGGTAGATACAAGAAATACTCAACCACTTCATCCATATACTCGAAAAAAGCATTTTCTCAGCAAAGCGAACACGTTGAAAGGTAAGGGTATGAATATGTTTTCGGTAATAATATATACTATACTCTGGTTTTTAATCCGTTAGACTAAACTGACAGCTCAATTCCTCTTTTCTTATTTTAATATTGCATGATTTCATTTTAGTGTTGTAACATAGCTCTATTAAATGATTCATTAATCCGATCTGTGATATGACTCATTAAGTTTTTTCGACGACCTCCGTAGCCGTGTGGTTCGCACGCCGGTTTCAAGGTACCGCCATCTCTGAGGCCCTGGTTCGATTTCCGGTCAGGTCAATATAGAAAATGGACTTTTATAAAATAAAATGATAGGAAATGTCTGGAGTCCGGGTGTTGTGGTACCTTCTCTGTCTCAGATACTCCATAATACGCTTTAGCTACTCATCTTGGAGCAATATATGTGATGTTATCTTATATATATTTATTTATTCATCAGATATCCGAATTAATTTTTTTATGTATTCATTAAATTGTTTCATTCATGTTTCTGATGAAAACTGAAAATACTTATAGTCCAGCCGAAGTTAGAATTTTACAAAATAAGTACTTAAGGAATTTCAAACAACTAAATTTCATTTTTCGTTTTTCCATTCTCAAAAAGCAATCAATTTTTTTTTTAAATTAAACATTGTAATTCTAACTATTAGTCTGACTAAAAAAGGTAAAATAAAATACAATCAACTTAAATAATCAAAATCAATCAACTCCTGGATCACTTCTATCACTCATTTTTTATTTGCGATAATGTGATAAACCTACTAAATGTCAGTTTAGTCTACCTAATTAATAATCAGACTAGGATTATTAAATGTTTAATAATGTTACCCAATATACAGTAACTACCTATCAAATTCCACAGGACCATAACAATTACTAAAATAAATGTGTTAAGATAAACACGCTATGAAATGAAGTTATTTTTCTTCGTCTTTTGACTGACCAAAAAGAGCGACTGAAAGAAACTTAAGCTAACTGATCTGTCGCATGAATCAAAATTTACTACAATACTATTTAACATAATACGGTTGGGAACCCTATTTACATCACACGCTAAGTTATTTTAAATCGTTTATCATCAGATCCTGGTGGTACGCCTGCTGCGCTAAGTGCCATCAAGAAGAATCCGGAATTCCATCTTGGGAGCCACGTCACTGGCAGAAAATATGCCCTTATCCGCTATGTCCTTCATATCGGCAATTTGCGCAGACTCTATCAATTTTTATCATAGGTAATGGATAATCATAATATTTATGGAATGTCAATAATCATCATCACCATCAGCCCTTTTATGTTGCAACTCTTCCTTTTGGATGGATAAGGAGGATGACCCTCCGCGCTGGCCCAATGCGGTTTGAAGGGTATTAACGACTGCAAAAACAGCCCGGACCAACGGATTAACGGGCCTTCTGAAACACGGATTAGGTCAAGGTAATTTTCGGTCACCCATCCCGTGACCAACCCTTGCCAAAATTGCATATCAACTATAATCACGGGCCGCGGCACATATCCACTACGCTACCGAGCTACCCAATCGTCAATGATATCAGAAACTAATTATTTTTTTCTTTGTTAGGTATTCTGGTGTGGATGCTAGTATGGATAATCATGGGAGATACAGTAGCCCCGGGTGGGCAGCTGTTCACTCTTGCCGCTTTGACAATCGCAGCACATTTCGGAGGGTGGTTAATGGTGAAGGTCACCACTCTGCCTCAATTGATAGGAATGTTAATAGTAGGGCTAGTACTCAAGAACATAGGCTTCGTAAATTTTGACGAACACTACATGAAAGTCTGCTCTTATATCAGGTACATAATAATTATAATCATTATTAATATAAGAAAATAATCAATAACTATAGTTACTGTGAGGACCTCGAAATCACAATGAAATGCGATTATTATAAAGGTATGGTGACCGTCTTTGCCATAATAGGCCATGATCCACAGTTTCTGTAAGTATGGAAAGGACATTTGACTTGTCGTCCTTCCTACGAATTGTTGTGTCGAATGATTAATTTTAATGGAAAAAAAATCTCTGCTATATTATCTGTAACTTTATCATATTATAAATAAAATGAATTCGTTAATTATCTATAATATTGACTGGCGTAGCTTAAAAAATATCAACCCTCGATCACCTATTTGTAACTTCTGATTGATATTCAGAACGTTATAATAACTTACTTATCCATGTCCGTATTTTCAGAAAAATCGCTTTAACTATCATCTTAACACGAGCTGGTCTGGATCTGGACCCGCATGCCATGAGAAAATTCTTCTTGACTGTCATAAAGCTCGCCTTGGTACCTTGGACATTCGAGTGCGTTCTCTGCGCTGTTTTAGCTCATTTCTTTTTAGGCTTACCTTGGGATTGGGGTAAGAACTTGACGTCTCTTTGATTACATTTTTTTTTATTAATATCCATCAAAAATACTAAATAAAGAAGAAAATTCACATCATCAATTTCAATTGTACTTATGAATTAAATTTTATAATAAGTTTTCAAACCATTACAATAAATTGCATTTTGTTCTTAAAGTATAAGAATAGCTTTGCTTTCTTTTCTATTTTTCATGTTCCTAAATATAATATGTTTAATTCACAGCTTTCCTTCTGGGCTCAATAATAGCCGCCGTATCACCAGCAGTAATCGTGCCATGCCTGTTCCGGTTGCGTGGAAAAGGCTATGGTGTCTCCAAGGGCATTCCCACTTTGGTACTCGCAGTCTCCGGAATCGACGATGCTGCTAGTGTCGCCGTATTCGGAATTGTTTCCTCTATTATGTTTTCAACATCATCGCTCACAATGAATTTAATCCAGGTATGTTATATCCAATCTATTTATGTCTCTACTACTAGGGCAAAGCGCTATGGATGGAATCAAATAGGGAAAACAAATCGTAATCATTAGAGTTCTAACAGGGTTATGTCCTACAAGTGAAAATACAGGTTTCTGTTATACTCGGTGGAACAAAACGACCAACACTCCCGAGGTTCCTGGAGAGTGCTATTTGTCTTTAATATGATGTAAAAAAAAATTATATGTCTAGGTCAAATAGTTTCGGAGATATTAAATCACAAAGTTTTTGAAAAAGAATGAGTGTTTTCAACCCTGAGTCAGCTGTATTTGGGACGTACTAAGGAAAAGTTTTAAATCGGTCATTGACTTCTTCATTTCTAAAAACGAAATAAACTAGTTTGTGATTTATAAGACTGCTTTCATGCAAATTCTACCAGACAATCAATAAACAAGGCAGTCAAAATGCTTAAATCGATTTACAGCCTAATAGCCGGTTTCTGATTTAAAAAAAGTAGAAAATTTCTACTGCTTATTCTCAATAACCTAAGTTTTTTTTAATTTCACAAGTTAAATAGTCCTAGTTTTATCAAACTGCTATCAACTGATCATCAAAAAACTAAAATCGGAAACGAAAACTAAGTGATGTTTGAGACGTTTAACTTTAAATTCTCAATTAAGAAACCGAGTGTAAAATTTCCTAAATTATTGTAGAGAGATCAGTCTAACATTATTTTAAAAGAGCAGTTCTCCAAAAAAAATGTTTGAATGGGGTAATACTCCTTTAACAACGGGATCGTTAATTAAACTCGATAAACTCACAAATCTTCCAGCGATTCATCATTAACACAAATGAACTTTGTTTTAAAAACATTGAGGATTTTTTTATTAAAATAGCATTTAAATAGAACATTAAAAAATGCGTGATATCAAACGACGAATAAAAAAAATGTGAACCGAGTTCTTCCCTCGATATCAAAGCCCCACCCGCCAGCCGCCATGCGGCTTCATTATTCTGTCGGTATTTTCCGGCCGCTCAGTCGCCGCCGACCTTTTGCGCTGGAGTGTAGTTGCGCATCGCCGCCGACGCACCGCTGCGAAGCGTCTTTTTAGTCAATTTTTGTTTTGTTCTAGTGTATTTTTAATTGAATTTTTGTTAATAAGATACTAGAGTGTTCCTCTTGAGTGTTAAGTTTAGTTTAGTGAAGATTGTGTTTAGTTTTGTGTGAAATGTGATGTGTTTTGCGTGTGCATGCGCGGCATTGAAAAGAGCGTGCTTAGCTCAGTCTTCAGAGAGGAAGTGGACATTTTCAGCATCGACTATCATTAAGATATCGGTAAATAATTAAATTAAATTAATGTATTTCGCGGTTCGTTGTAATCTGCACACAATCGATATTGCGCATGCGCGTTATAGGGCTGTCAACACTTAGAAATTTAAAATTTTTACTCCATTTTTACACCTCCACTATTTTTTAATATTTGTCAAATAAAATGAACGTTTGCATGTAACCTAACTTGAAACTTTCGGCTGTGTCGGTCATTTTGTTCCTCCCAGTATAATGGGAAAATATGAATATATTATAAGATATAAACATTTAATAAAATAACTTTAATTACACTAATTTGGACATATAACGCTTTATAATCTTTACAACAACTATAAATATAAATAAACAAATAACAAAGATACTACAAAGATAGCCTAAATGCCTATACGTTTTTCGCTAACGTAGCAAAGCGTGACGTCACTTCGTGGCGTGAACTTGTAGAGAGCGTTTTCGGCCAACGCGCAGCAATTACACAAACAATACGTATCTCCGAAACTAATAATCGTGGACATGTTGTTACTTCTACATTATTTCTCAGATACTATTTTTTTTTATTGTTAACTAGCATTTTAGGTCTGGGTATTAAGCCCTACTTGAGCCCGATTGCTCAGTGATTTACAATCTGTCAAGCCAAATCGAACAAAAATAATGTTTTTCGCATAGATTTCCAAAAATAATGAATTATGAAAATTCATTTCAAGCCTATTGCTGTCAATCATTATAAATTTGTCATTTCGTGAGAAAACTCTACTGGACATGTTATTATTTTGTATAATAAGATTTTTGTTCACAGGGGCCACTCAGTATTGTCGTGGGCATAGCGGTTGGTGTTCTATGTGGTTATCTTCTAAAGTTCGTACCGGAACGAAACGACGCATTTCTGGTACCACTTCGAGTATTGTTGCTGCTCACCGGAGGCTTGTTCTTTGTGCTTGGTTCCGAAGAAGTTGGCTGGGGTGGTGCTGGTACGTCTATATTAAATTATTAGATGTATTGATTATTTACTTGTTACTATAGATCGAAAAAACTGTGGCGTGTGTAGAGAAAGGTATTCTATTACATCGTTTACCGTGCATTAATTTTGATGTTATGTTGAATAATGCCTTAAAGACACAATAACATAAACGAATTAAAATACAATAAAACAGGAAAGAAACAATTTTTTAAAATTATTAAATTTTCTTTACTATTATTTTCAAACGTTTTCAGAATTAATGGGTTACGGTTATATAATCATGTTTTTTGGTACCAGAGAAAATGTATCTTTTATTTCTATTTTTTTAATGAAAAATGCTTAAGAAAACGACTTTGCCTCGAGATGAGACTCGAACTCACAACCTTTCGCAATCCGGGCGACTGCACTAACCACTGAGCTACCCAGGACCTAACAGGCCTGAAGGAACTTTCAAATGCAAAATTGATCTGAAAATATACTTAATAAGTAAATGTTATTACAATATTGAAGAGTTTCTTAACAAGAAGTAACAAACTGTGCCCAAATAAAAAATAAATAAATAAATAAAATAAATAAATAAATAATTTTGGCGGTAGGTGTTGAAAAGTAAAGTCTTCTTCTAAAAAAATAATGTTTTAAAATATTTTTTTAACATAAATAATTACAAAGTCTTAAGTGGAAAAGTAGTGTTATAGTACATTTTATAACATACTGTGTGGGCATCATTCTTTTATGCCTGTAGAAGAAGCTTGAGTACACCAGCCCGTCTGTGTTCAACTGTCACTACTTTCAACAACACACAAAAGCACAATACTGGAATTCACTGTCTATCATTTGCACTATAGACTGCCTGTTAATTATGGCTAATATTGCTGCAGTTATTGAGACTCAAAAAGTCATTGAGGAGACACTCATGCAGCGGATGTCCGACTTCGAGGCTCACTTAAAGATCTCTTCTGTGTCTTCTTCTCCAGCAGTCGAACTTAAAGCTTTGAGTGCAGACTATTGTCAGTTTAAGGACATGGTTGGAGGTATTTTAGCATTACTCCGTCAACAAATTCATTTCTTGGTCAGCAAAATTGATGACATTGAAGCAAGACATCGCAATAAAGCCCTTCTCATTGGTGGGATAGAAGAGAGTGATAGTAAAGACTTGCAGGAAACTGTCATTGATATCTGTCACAACAAGCTGGGTCTTAATAACATCAAGAAGTCAAGTTTTACAGCCTGCCATAGGCTTGGGGTAAGGATTCAGGAGCGTCCGCGACCTGTTCTCATATATTTTGACCAGCTGGCCACTAAATCTGCTATCTGGACCAACAAAACTAAACTGAAGGGTACAAGCATAGTTGTGTCAGAGTTCTTGACTCGACGTCGTCAGGAGGCATTTGCAGCGGCACGTAAGCACTTTGGCATCCGTAACGTGTGGACAAGTAACGGTAACGTTGTCATAAAGTTGTCGACTGGCAAACTTTGTCGGGTTAAGGACGAGCAGGAATTGGCCAAAGTGGTGGAACAGAACCCAACAGTACATGCTGTGGCGACAACGGTGGCCGGTTCCAAGTTCGGTGGCGATGCTTCTGTTAAGTCATCTAATGCTAGGTCGAGGCGCCCGGTAAAGAAGTGAAATTCTTTAAATTATTTAATTTACAATTTCTCATTGATTGTCATGTTTAAACTCTAAATTTAGCCGGGTAATACTTCATATGTACTATGGTAAATGTTAAAATTCTTATGATTCACACATGCATTTATTCAATTAAAAATTATTTTTTGTTTACAAACTAGAGGGGCGTAGATAATGACAGTGTTGACATTGACAATATTGCTTCTATTTTTTTGTTTACTCAAGTCAAAAGGATTAAACTCTTGCAGCCATAAATTCTTTTTTTTGTACACTTCTTTGAAGACTCTTGCTGAATTATGGGTATATTTTAACGATATTGGTCCAACACTGTCAGTGATCGCCGCTTTTCTGTATGATAGCTCGTTTTTAATTATAATTGCTTTTATCTATAAATTTGAATATTTACTTCGTCATTCGAAATTAGATTTTCACTATATTGTGTATTTTTACTTTATATTGTGATAGTTGACCGGCGGGTTGGACACCTTCTTATTTAAAATACTTTTTATTTTTTCTTTTTTTTTCAATAATTAATTAACCTATTCATATTGTTTATTTTAGGGTATATCTAAATATATATATATTGATATTTATTATTATAAGTTTATGTCGGATTCAGAGGAATTAGATTTTCAGTCATGCGGCAGTTCTGATTCTTCGTTTCACTCTTTGGATAGTATGCGGGCTGACACAGAGGTGTTGGGCGATCAGATTTCTAAAGCCTTTTCTACCGTAACCGGAACTTTCAACGTTTGTCATGTTAACGCACAAAGCATACCGAGGCATTATACGGAGCTACTTAATGGTTTCACTGCTGATGTCACTCACGCGATACTCATTTCGGAAACCTGGTTTAAACCATGCCACAATTCCTTTACATACGCCTTACCCGGCTACGATCTTGTGCGAAATGACAGATTGGTGAAGCGAGGTGGCGGTGTGGCCATCTATCTACGAACTGGTATCCCATATCAAATCCTTGCCACTTCTTACCAGCTTGCAAGTAACATCGAATATCTCATTCTTCAGATTTCATTATCTGGTTCCAAAGCAGTTCTCGGAGTCGTATATTGTCCACCTGCTGTCGAATATATTTCTACTCTCATTTCCGTGTTTGACACGTTTGCAGCTAATTACGCACATCACATGATCCTGGGTGATTTCAATACTGATCTTTTGAAGGACAATCTTACCTCCCGTTTATTTCGATCAACCATCGAGTCGTATAATCTCTCTCTTCTTGAGCTTGATGCTACACACCATAATATCGACACAAATGACACGTGGATTGATCACATGCTTGTATCCTCTCCAGATAATGTCTCCCATTATGGTCAAATTCCAGCTCCGGGCTTTTCCCGACACGATCTTATTTACCTCTCCTATAGAATCAAACCTCCTAAACGTACACCAGAACTGGTAAAAATGCGAAACTTTGCACGTATTAACCTTCAAAAGCTGTCACAGGACGGGTCTAACTTAGATTGGACGGATGTTCTATCTGCACATGATATAGATGACAAGATCAACATTTTTAATGGGTTAGTTTTAAATCTTTTTGATGATCACGCGCCACTGCGTACAGTAAAAATTAAGAGACCACCAGCTCCCTGGATAACTCCTTTGGTGCGAATTGCGATGAGAAGGCGTGATAGAGCTTTTATTAAATTTAAAAGACGTAGAACCAGTGATAATTGGATCAATTTTAAAATAATGCGTAACCGTTGTAATCAGATGGTGAGAATTGCTAAACGCCGCTATTTTCATGATAGTATCCTTCAGTCATCTCAAGCCGATATTTGGAAGTTCCTTAGGTCCCTTGGTCTCGTTAAGTCTAAAAACGACACCCTCCCACATTTCTTTTCTCTTAACGATATTAACAAACACTTCTCTATCAACTCGTCATCCTTTCTATTAGATACCTCAAAAGCGCTTACTCTTATACCCTCTCTGTGCAATAGGCCTACTAATGACTTCTCTTTTTCTCTGGTGACGGAAACAGAGGTTCGCAAGTCTATTTTGTCTATTAAGTCGAAAGCGATCGGTTATGATGGTGTGAGTAGGCAGATGATTGTTTTGATTCTGGACAGTGTCCTACCAATTATCACTCATATTATAAATCACTCCCTATCTACTGGTACCTTCCCAATAATTTGGCGCAATGCGCTAGTTATGCCACTCCCTAAAGTTAATAACCCAGCAACATTAAACCAATTAAGACCGATTTCTATTCTGCCATTTATATCAAAAGTTTTGGAAGCCATTGTGCATAGTCAATTATCTGCTTATGTAGCCAGTAATCATATTTTGAACCAGTATCAGTCTGGCTTTCGTCGAGGTCATAGCACCACTACCGCTTTATTAAAAGTAACTGAGGATTTACGCGATGGCATGGGGATGTCACGGCTAACAGTTTTAGTTCTAATCGATTTCTCTAACGCTTTCAATGCTGTTAACCTTGATATTCTCATTGCGTTGCTTTCATACTTGCGAATCTCGTCTCCTGAACTAGACTGGTTCTCTTCCTATCTTCGGGGTCGTCGGCAGGCAATTCGTGTAAAGCATACACTGTCAGATTGGTGCGATTTGTCTGCTGGTGTTCCACAAGGCGGTATTCTTTCTCCCCTTCTCTTCTCACTCTTCATCAATATGATTTCACCTGTTCTCGGTAACTCTCATCATCTGTATGCGGATGACCTGCAGATTTATGGTCAAGCTGAAGTAAATGATTTGGATAATGTGATAGACTCAATTAATAAGGATTTACATAAGATTTTAGACTGGTCCGATACTTTTGGGATTCGTATCAATCCTAACAAGTGCCAGGCCATCATCGTGGGCAGTTCTCGTCATTTAGCAAAGTTGGACATGAGATCGGTAGCGCCAGTCATCTTCAACAACAATTGCATAAAATTTTCTTCTCATGTTGTAGATTTAGGCATTTGTATTGATAGCTCACTAAGCTGGCACACGCAGATAGAGTCTATTAGCCGAAAAGTCATTGGCACCCTTAGGTCTTTCTACCAGTTTAAAAATTTCCTTCCTATATCCTCTAAAATCCTTCTAATCCAATCAATCATATTTCCCATTATAGATTATGCTGATGTGTGTTATGCTGATATCACACAGGAACTTCTCAACAAATTGGATCGATTACTTAATAATTGCATACGTTTTATTTTCTGTCTTCGTAAGTACGATCACGTCTCTTCTTTTCGGAAAAAGTTAAACTGGTTAACTATTCGGCAGCGTCGAGATCTGAGGATGTTATGTACCCTTTATTCCATCATTAAAGATCCATGTGCGCCTGGATATTTGAAATGTAAGTTTCAGTATCTAGGTGCTTCACACAGCCGAAACCTTCGCTCAGACAGCAAAGAAACTCTCGCCACTCCTTTTCACCGTACAGGGTTCATTTCAAACTCATTTTCGCTTCAGGCTATACGACTTTGGAACGCACTCCCTCCCCATATTCAAACTGCTCCAAATAAATTATGCTTCAAAAGACTGTTACGCGATAAGCTATTAAATTCTCCAACCGCTTGTAATTAATCTGACTTATTTATGTATGTATTATATATTTATTTATGTTATGTAATTTGTTATGTATTTTTATTTCTATATTTTTATATATATCTATTGTTTAAGTGTAAGACACTTTATTTATATTTTGCATAGCACCGCCTCATTAAATTCTTTATGTCTTAACTCTCCGGTTGACTGGTAGAGAATGCCTACTGGCATTAAGTCCGCCATTTGTACACTTTATTAGTGCAAAAAAGTTTAAATAAATAAATAAATAAATAAATAAATAAAAAGAATAATACAAAAAAAAGTATATATGAATAAATGTATCAACTATGTTTAAGGTTTATAAATTAAGTAATTAATAAATTAATTATTAAATGAATTAATAAATGAATGTATTGTAAATGTATTAATCGAGTTTAAAGTATATTGGATATGTAAGTAAAATAACTATTAAATGTAATAATAATCACTAGAACAATAATATATATAAGTAAAAATGGCAATTGTTGCCCCTCAGTATTGCTGTGCCCTTACAGGGCGTCACTTGTACAAAATTAATTTATAACATCTGTATGACCTGTGACTTGCATTGAATAAATTGAAATTGAAATTGATAAAAATAATCTGAAATCTTAATTTTTGAACAGTATCCAATGTCGCTTCAAACTAATGACAACATTAATAAACGTTATTGCAACTGGCTGTATGTCACCCGTATATAACGTAACTTCCCGTCTTTTTAATGCAAGAATTTTAAAAATCGGCACATTACAAGTTTTCTGAGCTTAATCTATGCAACTAACAAATAATAATAAAAATTCTCTTTATATTAGTATTGATCGCTCTGAGGAGGTCATAAAGCCATCTAAATTATGAAAAAAAAATCCTCTTCGGATGTTGGAACTTAAACATTATTCACAATAATTTTCAGGTCCATTAGCAGTTATCGCATTTGCTTTCGTGGCGTGTAAGAACTGGGCTGAACTCGGCTGGGAGTTGGAGGATAATCCTGTAGCGACAGCTTTCGAGATATTCTGGATGTTCTTCGAGCCAATGCTGTTCTCAGTCACGGGAGCTCAAATTGTTGTAAGTATTTATTAATTAATATAATACTTTGATATTCAGCAACTTTTGCAACAGTTGCGAGTTATCTTTGGACACTCCGTCCTCTAGATTATAAATACATGTGAAGCAGTTCCTTAAGAGGTAGATCAGCAGATCTAAAGAGGGTAAGCAAAATAATTATTGTCTAGATCGGAAAAATTGAGACCAAAAATTTGTACGTATGGAATTATAAATGACTATTCCTGGTCCTGTGTACAAATCTCCTGGTTATGCGGTAACAAATCTCCCAAGTGTAGAGTAACCCTACACGCAATGGTTTTCTGTACTAAATTGGTACAATATTTTCTGAACAAATGAGCTGTGAAGATAAAAAGAAACGCAATTTATACTTTAAGGATTCAGTTTTCTTTTCTTTTGAGGCAGTGAAAATTAAAAAACTACAACTAATAAGTGTTACTGCCATGCTAAGAAACCAATAGGTACCCACATACAAACAAATCATTTACAGAATGCAATAATGGGTATGTTCCGATATACACTGCGACCACTGAACAGTATGACGTCAATTTAGTATACTGGAAGCCCGTTCCTTTATAGCTAGTTATACTGGTGACTTTTTAAAACGGAACGCAGTCCAGTATACTGTTAATCCTATTTTTTGGCGCCATTTTCAAATTTGTTAATGCAAGGTGAATATAAATAAAGATTCCCTCTTTTCAAAAGAAAATATTATAAAATTGTATATAAAAAAATTATTTATCAATTAAATCCATCTTATAATAAACGTAAGTATTTTTTTTTTGTTTATTTAGAAACTTATCATTTTCTGATTCTGTTTCGACTGATCACTTGATCAAAAGCACTGCGAGCACCTTACCTCGAAATGTCCAGTGCTCACAGTACAAATATGGCGGCAATTTATGACGTCATAAATTTCCCTAGGGTACTGTAGCAGTGTACTGGCAGTCCATAACGGAACGGATTTTTCAGCAGTAAGACCACTGCGCAGTGCTCGCAGTGTATATCGGAACATACCCAATATGTTGCTGTTGGAAGAATTTTCACGAACTGAACTGGCATTCAGAACGAGCATATCGTGTTACTACTCGTATATGCTTAAATTTTCAAATCACGAAGAGCGAATAATAAAAATGAAATCATCTTAAAGATCAAAGAAAAAAGTTTAGAATCGAAAACCAAATAAATGGTGTGGTAAAACGAGCCATTACAAAGTACTAGATACAACGTCATAACTTAAGCGAAAAATTAGAACTGTTAAATAGCTAATTAACAGATCCTTACCTCATTGGTTATATTATTCATTTGGTAAAAAAATATTCTCTAGTAATTACTTCTCCCTGCTATCTATATTTGAAACTAAGGTTAGTGCGGCAGTTAGACTACTTAAGCAAAGCAAATACTTATTTTCAGATAGCGGAGCTGCCACTTAGGTTAGTACTGATTGGGAGTGGGATTTTAGTGGCTTGTGCAATACTCCGTACCATAGTAACAAGCGTGAGCGCAGTACGCAGCAATCTCAACACCAAGGAGAAGATATTTGTTGGCCTCGCTTGGATGGCTAAAGCTACTGTACAGGTAATTTATAAAAACTTAACTTTATTTAGTTTGTATGGGTTAAATCTTCCATACTAGATTGAAATCTCTTGCAGTGCAATGATTAGTATGCAATGGAACTGGACCACAATCCTGCATTATTGACCTAAAACGCTATAATTAAACATTTACAAAATTGAAACGCCGATATGATGACGGAAGGCAGCCATGCAATCTTCTCTAATTAAAAGCTAAGCTACCTCATTGAGTTGGGATCGTTCGAATAGTCAATACAAGATCTCTTGTCCAAAATTAAGAGTAAAATGTTGTTTAATTATAAATAGTCTTGTTTTTACTTATATTTCAATTTGGCATTCACAATGATACTCGTACATCAATAATAAATCTCTAAAGAAAAAGTGTTTATAAAAATTTATTATATACAATTTTTGCTCAAAGGACGATTACTCATAAATGAAACCCAAGATACTTTCTAAGTCAGCATGCTTAAAATTTAACACAATCGCGAACGATCAACATTACAATGAAGTATGTATTCTACTCTGTTTAAAATAGCACTTGTAAGTGTTTATTTTGATTTAAGTAAGCCATAAAACAAATATTTGGGAGAAAGTAAACGAATTTTGTTGCCATGAAATGAAATCAAAATTTAAATTTAGTTCATACCCGCGAGAACGCTATTTTACATATTCATAACGTCGTTCGGATATGTATACAAAACAGATGCACAGAGTAGTAGATTAAAAGATGTCAACATAACAAGAATTGTGCCATCTAACGGTCGATTACAAAATAAAAAGATAAAAATAAGTTAAGAACTGAGCCATCTAGGTATCATCTAACTTGATGTATAATACATAGACGTTGTTTACGCTGACAGCTGTCGCCAGAGTAACGTTTAAAATCACATGACACATAAATCTCGACTTTTTAAGATAATCATTAGATTTTATACTCAAAATCCTTATTACAATGTACATTTTAGTTTTTGTGCAATTTCGTGACTTATTTTTCACTACTGAAACTACACTATTGTGACGCTTCGTACTCTTGATTTACTAACACCAATTGGCTCTATTTTTCATTGTTATGAATGAACTAACTGACGTTGAGTAAGAATTAAGTTTATGTTTCAAGAGTACGTGCTAAGATTGCGTTCAAGAGTAAATAAGAGTAAGCAGTTAGTGCTTTTGCAATTTTCTGTTATGTTGTCACTTCCACAGGCTGCTTTAGGACCAGTGGCCATAGACGAGGTCGGCAAGATGACCGGCATAGACGCCACAACACTGGAAATGCTTAGAGGTTACGCAGAGATTGTGTCGACGGTGTGCATCATGTCTATTGTTATAACAGCTCCGATCGGTGCCATTATCATCACGATTACTGGACCACGGCTGCTATCTAAGACAACGAAACCGCCTGTACTCGAAGGTAACCTGAAAAGCATACTATCAGTGTATACGAAAAACCTTTATCCTATTAATATTATAAAGGCGAAAGTTTGTAAGTATGGATGTATGGATGTTTGTTACTCTTTCACGAAAAAACTACTGGACGGATTTGGATAAAACTTTACAGCAATATAGGTTATACATCAGAATAACACATAGGGTACTTTTTACTGGGAAAACTTCTCACTCCCACGGGATACCGACTTCCACGCGGACGAAGTCGCGGGCGTCCACTAGTGTTTTAATAAATCAAATATTAAAAATATAGCTTTTTTTCAACTTTTTTATAGATTAAATAAATTATGACACCATGTCAGCTCCTGCACTGACCTGCATATACCACATTAAATATTTTTTGTATTGTTGTGAGGTCATTGACAATGAAGTCATTATAATACTTTGACGCGAGATAACAAAGAAAGTACGTTTACTATATAGACCCAACCGGACCTAAATCCACTCAAGATTCTTTCACCGCTTAAACTTATCTCATTCCATTATACACCTAATACTGTCCTACCAGTTAATTTCCGACACCTCATCGACCTCCGTAGCAGAGTGGTTTGCACGCTGGTTTCAAGGTGTATTGTCTCAGATACTCCATAATACCGGTGCTTTAGCTACTTATCTTGGAATCTGAACAATTTATGTGATGTTTTCTATATTTATTTATTAAATAAAAATTTATACACAATAACGTTTTGTCATTTAGGCTGGCGCCGTTCTCATCGGCCATCAATCCGTGACATATCAATCATCGACGAAGAAGAGACTACGGAACGGGACGCGGAAGCTAGCCACCAGTCACCGCCTGCGTCGCCCGTGCCCTCACATCCACCGACCGCCTTCAGCACCCCCACTCCCATTACTGTGCAACCCAACAAACTTACTTGATTACAAAAACATCCTCTGCGATCGTCAGATCTTATTCTTCCGCTCAATGCCCACTATACATTTTCGATTACAACTAATCGCTTCTGGGGGCCTCCCAACCATAGTCATGGAAATGAGATGTTCATTTTATTTTTTGACAGTCGCTTACAAAGAGCATCACTGTCAAAAATAATTAGCTTCAAGCAGCGAAAATCATCAGATGATCATATCGCACTCCAGAGAACGCCTTAGGTTCTTGGCGATTGATACCCTCCAAAGGCTTAGTTTCGAAACGTGCAGTTCTCAAATGTGCCTTTACAGACTATTCTTATCAGGTGAACGATACCTTGTTCGAAGGAGGCCTGTATCATACATGTGGCAGTACGTTCGAGTGGGCTATTCTTTAAATACCTAAGTACAAACAAAATTAACTCTCGATTGCTTGTGATTAAAGCCGTCCTTAACTATGAGACTATAATAAGATGTGCATGATTTCGTTCCCTTAAGAACGGCAGCAGTTAAATTATCACTTACAAATATGTAGGTCTTTATCGACTGTACAAATTCGGAGCGAATTTGTCATTATCGTATATGTTACATTAACCTAGCATCTTAACCTAGTAAAAAAGAGATAGGTTTGAAAAGTTATAAGAACTGCTTTGAGACCATGTTTGAGACCATCAAGGCACCAGTGTTATTACATAGTTTTTATTAGGAGCCTTTGCATCAAAAAAGAGGATTCGAATACACCTAATGAATTGGTAATATACAAAGATATTAATCTTCTATCGAACTATTAAAAACGCGGTTTTACTATGACGAGCTGTCTGATTAACACAATGGACTTTACTGTGTTTAATCATAAATAAATATTTTTACAAGGAAATTAAGCCGTCAGCATAGTGTTAGCGTAACTTTTACATGCTAACATTAAGACAGTATTTTTTATTAATAGTTTGGCCCCCAATTTAAGCGAACCTGCAGTCATTAGTAGTACTAGTTAGTACTGGATTACCATCTCTTTATGCGTCTTGGCCTGCAATTATAGCACTATAACTAGGGTGAGGCCCCCAAACTATAGACGTCTGGGACGAAATGATAAAAAAAAAACAAGGCGTATAAACACGTTTTCATATAACCATTACTTTGATATTATTGAGTATAAAACGAATAACGACAAAAAAAGGAAATTATTATTAGTAATACCACGATTATGTAACCAAGCACATTATGCCTCTACCTGTAACAACATTCCAGAAACATAGGTATACTCTTATATCAATAACTTTAAGCTATAGAAAAGGTAACCTACATATCGTACATAAACAATAAATCAGCCTATATCGATGTTGACTATTTAATACACACAACGGCAAAATCAATTTAGATACCTTTTTTCGCATGAATATTATGTTACTTAGCTTTCAAAACCACGAGAGTATCATATTCTGCTATAAATGTTTAAGAGTGCTGTTGTAGACTGTATTTTTATAAGGACTTGTTTATAATTCAATTGTAGATACTAATTTATAGAGCCTTAAATAAAAATTGAAGATATGCGTCATATATATTGTTACTTGTTATAGTGGTTAGTCTTTATAAAAGGAAATATATTAAGAAGGTTATAAATTCTATTTTTTATAATTCGTATCTATTAGAGGCTGTTGAAAAGTTTGACCTAACTATTTAGTTCATTATATATATATTTCAGTAAACTTTAAAAGACATTTGTAGCGAGAGTAATTTTAAGGATATTTTAGGGTAAGTTGCACCTATTGATGTATAATGTACGATTATATCCGTAATTTGCTATGTGATAAAATGTACACATAATGAGTTATCATTATCTTAGTTAAAGAAAGGAACACCTCGCTAAAAACTTATTTTTGCTGTTGAATGTTGTTAATATTGTACTTTAAATGTACTTATATAAAAAATGTTACTTAATTGAAATAATCATTTGTAATTATTTAGTAATATTGATCGGACCAGTATTGTCACTATTTATATAAAATAATAATTCATTATTCGGCTTAATCAAAAAAATTACTTAATATTGGTACAAAATTTAGTCGTAAGATATTTTAAAAACAACAGTATTTTCAATATATTATTGTTATTTCTGTAAGATATTACTCCAAAAAATATTGAAAAGCGGAATTATTTTATCATTTTAAATAAGCTTAAGATTTTTAACTACATATGAACGAAAATTTCGAAAATATTCAAATTATGATTCTCTAAAAACTGAGTTTATACAAATAATACTAAATGCATAAATTTTGCAAATATATTAAAGTAAAGAGAATATTTTTTGCTATGTATTGTACTTAATTCTTCACTTATTTGTATCGGGTACTTTAGTGCTTTATTTAATATAAATATTTTTTTAAATAAAATTTTGGTATCGATATTGACGACGAAGGTGACGAGACCCAAACACTATAGGTAAAAGCTAATAACACTAAGATATTTTCACGAAAGCTCTATTTTCTACAAGATAAGTGCCGTCAAAGGTTTCGTCAACAATATAAAGATAGTTAATTTAAAAAATAAATACCAATATTAACTATATATATAAAAGCAATTAATATTACTCGAATCATTTGTACCGATATTAGTTTAAGAATGGATTGAAAGTTAAAATATGGCCTCTACACCCATTAATCATAATGTCATTGTATATTATAGCACAATTTGAGAAAGTAATCATGTAAAAACGTTAATCTAACCTTTTGTTAGTTTTTAAAAAAATAGACATTTGACCTCTGTAGATTAACTAAATTTCTTCTTGTATTTAATTACCATGATTTTGAAAATAGATATTGAATACATGTAGCTTATCAGAAATGGCTCAGTAACATTGATCGATGGGGTAGGCACGCGGAATGCGGGCGAATTCTGAACGCTCATCTCATTGATCAATACAACAATTGCCGACCAATGAAAGCGAGGAACAAAAATCGCCCGCACGTCACAAGCTGAAGTCATCGACCAATGTAAATACGCAATTACAGGTTAGAATAGCTAATCATACGTACCTAGTTTTGTCTAAGATGCTGTCTGCAATACATGTCTAAATGTTTTTACCCGCAGTCTTATTGCCTTACATTACATAGTTATTTAGCCGTGTACCGCGAACGTTGTTGCTAAGCAACTTTCGCAAGGGTCGCTCAAAGGATGAGTGACTAAAAAGTTATTATCTCGAGCTACTACATGTTTCGGAAGGCACGTTTAGTCGTTGTTATCATACATACAGGTTGGCTGTATGTAGTATATGTCATTTTCGCAGAATATCAAAAAGAACTTATTAACTTGGTTTGAACTGCCCTGTAAAAAATGGGACTTTATAGAAGATTAAAATTAATATTATTATAGAAGATAAAAAGATTATAATATTTAGTATTTCTATTTATATTAACGTTAAATTGTGAAACTATTTACCTACGTCTTAGTCAAAAAGTGAACAATTGTAAAAAATAAGAATGAAAAAAGATTAAATTATTTTTAAGAGATAATTCTTGTAGATTATTTACCTATTTACAGCAATTGAAATCCTAAATTTCTTTTAAGGATTTCATACCTTTAAAAGAAAAAGGTAATTCTTATTTCTTATTCTATTTCTTGATATTTCCGTTTGTTCCTTTGTCACAGCTAATCTCTTTCAAATCTACTAAGTCGATCTAGTTGAGATTCAGTAAGTACAAATTTATATAAAGGTAAAATTATGGTACGTTTAAAAAACGTTTCTAATTTAACCCCCTAAAAGAGATTTTTAAAACAAGCTTTTATTTGTGCACATTAAAACGTAACTTGATAAATTCTAAATATTTAAAATACTTATAATCTGTGTTCTGTGAATATAATCAACATTTTCTCCAACAGTAATTGACTTCAAAAGCTTGTAGTGCTAATGAAATCGGAGGCGAGGAAATATACCTACATATATTTTTTCCGCGCTACAAGCTTTTTAAGTCAATTACTATTTGAGAAAATTTTGATTATAAATACTTTAAATGTTAACAATCTACGGTACGTTCTTGATTTCTCCATGACAACCCTTCCAGTTTTTAAATATATTAGTTTAAGGAAACGGAAATGACTGGCTTTGGTCCATTCGTTTCCTGCAAAAATCAACTTTTACTAGAGTCGCCATCTAGTGTAGGTGCTTTTTTAGTACTTTCGTTATTTTTTAAATACTTTCTCATTAATGTGTATACTCATGCCAAATTACATTTTTCTAGTATCTATAGTTTTTGAGCGGACATGGCGAAACTTATAGTTTTTACTGCAGGTTCCTTGTTTACTACGGAGCCCTAAAAAGATAAACTCAAGGAAAACACCGAGCTGCCCCTCAATTTCTCGACTCTCTTGTCTCTTACGCTACGGGAAAATTTTCAGAATTTCTATGTACGAAACAAGCCATAACAAAAAAAAAATATGATATTCGAAATAATTACTGGGAATGAGAATAAATGTAATAATGTATATTTTTTTGGATTCCACATAACTTTAAGAAAGCGAAAGATAATAATTTTATCAAAACTGTACAATCACAATTCACATGCTATAAAGATAATTTTGAAAGAATTTAATGTAAGTATTTGCTAAAAAATATGTTTTGGTATTTAAAAAATAAACTATAAATTGTTTGACATATTTTTTGCTCCTTTAAATGAATAAAAATATTGAGTACGATTTTTAACAAATAAAATGTCATTTTATAGGAGAATGACAAAACTAGGCTCTAAAATAGCCAAGCTATTACAAAAATGAAACCTACTAAAATAGAATTAATAATTTTTAATACCTAATATAAAAAAACCTAATCTGTTGCTATGGATATACAAGTTGTTGTAATTAATAACATAAACTGCTGAGGCGGCGTGACCCGAGACCTCACATGGGATTTTAAAGAAAAATTTAAAGAGCGGCAGAAAAAAATATTAGAAAAATTGTCCAATGAAATATATGAAGGCGTGGCCACCGTGTCGGAAAATTGAACAAACTAGGCAACACAACACTAATGGTGAACAAGCATCGTCGATGTTAAGCAACTTTCGCAAGGGTCAGTCACGGGATGGCTGACCAAAAACATATTATCTCAAGCTTCGGAAGGCACGGGAATTCAAAAAATAAATTCCCAAAGAGTGTAGAAATAAATAAATATTTATTGATAAACCGCTTACTTCCTTTTAATGAATGTTTTAAAAATAAAGTTTATTTTT